CCTTTTACATCTTCCTATAACCAAATATCTTCCTTCTCATTGCCAACAACCCGGCCAATCTGTGTCGTTCACAGACTTATCACTCCCTTTCACTTTCACCCCCCACATTTATGAATATGACAAACAATAAGGGATCCAGCACTGATCCCTGGTGAACACTACCGGACACCAGCCTCCAGACACAACCTTCTGCCACCACCCTCTGGTTCCTATCACTAAGCAAATTTTGGATTCAAATTGTCAAGTTACCCAGGATCCCGTGAGTTTTACCCTTTTGTTAGTTTCAACGGGACCTTGTTAAAAGCTTTTCTGAAATCTATCAACTGCCCTATCCTCATACATACAAACAAACAAACACCACCTCAAAAAATTCTACCAGATTTATTAGGCACGACCTTCCTCAGACAAAGCCATGCTGACTATCTCTGATCAAATCTTGCCTTTCTAAACAGAGATTAATTTCCTCCTGCACTACTTTTCCAACAATTTCCCTCCCACTGATGTTAGGTTTAATCTGTAGTTCTCTGGTCTACCTCTGCCACCCTTCTTCTAAAGCAGAACCACATTAGCTGTCTTCAAGTCCTCTGGCACCTCCTCTGTGGCCAGAGATAATTTAAAAATTTGGATCAGGATCCCTATAATTCCCTCCTCATCTCCCACAACAGCCTGAGATACAGCTCATTAGGACATCAGGGTTTGTTCTCTTAGATCCACCAAAATCTCCAATACTTCCTCACTCCCTATATCAATCAACTCAAAAACCTCTCCGTGCATCTTCTCAAATTCTGTATTTACATTCTCCTCCTCCCCCCAAGTAAACACAAATGTGAAGTACTTATTTAACACCATCAATGTCATCCAGCTTCACAATTAGATTGCTCCCTTGATCCCGAATAGGCCCTACCCTTCCTCTGGTTATTCTCTTCCCCCTGATATACTCGTAGAATATCTTTGGATTCTCCCTAATCTTGCCCACCAATGGTTTCTCATACTCCCTCTTTAGGGCTTCAGTTATTTTCCTTCCTTTGTACTGGTTATATATCTTTCTTTCTTTTTTTATTCCTAGATTTCCAGGTTTCTCTGGGTTGTTGCTCCTACATTTTATCCAAAAGGGTTCATATTGAGCCTCTATTTTCCCCAGTAACTTGCTGAAAGCTTCCCACTATCCTGCTGTAGGTTTATCTTCAAGTAGCTGTTCCCAGTCTATTTTGGCCTGATCCTGCCTTATTTTAATAAAATCTGCATTACCCCAATCCAAAACATTTTTTTTTGCAGACTTTCTTTCTCCACTCCCATAACAGATTTAAAATGTATGGTGTTGTGGTTGCTATCCCTAAAATACTCCTCCAGAGTCACCTGTGACCAGCTTCATTCCCCAGGATTAGATCCAGCACTGCAATGTCTTTTTTATAAGATGTTGGTGGTCCTACAAAGTTCTTCTGCATCCATTTCAAGAAAGTTTATGCCTTTAAAACCTTTCTACTATGACTAATAGTTGAAATCCCACAATATAAGAAAGGGAAAGACAGAGACAAAGAGGAAAAACAGAGAGAGCTTCATCTGTGGCTGCCTGACACTGCACTGGAAGATTTGTTCGGGGATACAGTTATAGGGAAGCCAGCCATCCATTGGAGTATGAGTGCCTCCTTTGTAAAGCAGTGGAACCAGAGAGCCATTTTACATCAATGTCAGGAAACAGAGCTCCTTCATTCACTGCTCAAGTGGTTTACTCACCTCAACAATATCAGGGAGAAATGTTCCTAACTGTATATCTCTCCCACTGCAGCTCTGGCTTCAGACACTGCTCAACACACCACCACCCCATCACTCATCTGACAACAATTGCAATCTGTCATGAATCTGCACAGCTTCATTCAGTCTCCAAACCACCACGCCTACACCTTATAGTTCACTCACAGTGCCAATTACACAACTGACAGTTAATATCACCCACACATGGCACCACACTGACTGCCACACTCTTCTCTCCTCCAGATAAGTTGACATGTAACTGACATTAAGTCCATGTGCTCTCAGAACCATTACTGAGGATTGCCAAGATCACCCTCTCCTGACTGTATACTTCTGTTCCGCTTCTTTTGTTTCATTTTCTTCTGTTTAGGAAATATGTATGGTGTTAAATGGTGAGCAGGATAGCTATAAAGTGCAGGAAGACACAGGTAGACACAGCAGTGGGAAATGGAATTCAATGCAGAAAACTGAGATAATGCACTTGAAGGCAGCTAACAAGGGATTCATAATGAATGGTGGACTCTGGAAAGTAGTAAAGATCAGAGGGGCCTTGATATGTGCATCCACATATTTCTTAAAGTATCTGGACAGGTGGCTATATTGGTTAAGGTGGCATTTGGGATACTTGCCTTTACTTGCCAAGGCACAGAATAAAAGAACAAGGATGTTTTGCAGGAATTGTACAAATGTTGGTGAGAACATGGTTGGAATTCTGTACACACTTTTGGTTATCTCATTATAGAAAGGACGTGATAGCACTGCAAAGGACACAGAGGTGATTCACCAGGATACTGCCTGGGTGAGAGAATCGGAGCTACGAGGAAAGAATAGATAAGCTGGGGTTGTTTCTCTCAGAACAGTGAGATGGGGACCTGGTAGAGGTGTAGAGTTGCAGGGACATGTATAGAGTAGATAGAAAGACATTTTTCCCATTTAAAGAGGGGCCAATAACCAGGAGTTAAGGTAAGATGTAGTAGATTGAGGAGAGTTGAGAATTTTTTCCACTGGAGTGATAGTTCGACGGAAACTTTAACATTTTAATAGTATTTAGATAATCACTCATGATGCAATATCTTCCAGGGCTATGGGCCAAAAGCTGGAAAATAGGATTAGGTGTAGTCAGACCTTTGTTGACTGGTATGGACACAATAGACTGAATGGCATCCCCTGTCCTGTAAATGTCTAGGAGTCTAAACATTGGTCAAGTAGGAAGCAGATGTTAGGAAGAGACACCAGGGACTGAGAGAATCCCTGAAGGATATAAAGACAGTAGAAGTATACTCGAGGGAAATCAGGAGGTGATAAAACAGCTTTGGCAAAATTGCGTTAATGAGAATCCAAAGGGATTCTACAAATATATTTAAAGGACAAAAGGGTAACTAGGGAGAAAATAGGGCCTCTTAAAGATCAGCAAGGTCACCTATGTGTGAAACTGCAGGAGATGGAGGCGATAGTAAATAGTTATTTTGCATCAGTGATTACTGTGGAGAAGGATATGGAAGCTACAGAACTTGGGAAAATAAATAAAAACCGAAAGAACTGCAGATGCTGCAAATCAGGAACAAAAACAGAAGTTGCTGGGAAAGCTCAACAGGTCTGGCAGCATCTGTGAAGGAAAAAAAAAATCAAAGTAACGTTTCAGGTCCGGTGACCCTTCCTCAGAACTGATGGTAGCTGGGAAAACGTCGGCATATATGCAGAAAATAGGGAGAGGGGGGGTTAGGGAGTAAACTATAGGATAGAACCCAGAGAGAAGAGCAGTTTTTGTTCCCACTTTTACCTCCCCAGTCTCATCTTCCAAGGGACCAACATTCACTTTAGCTACTCTCTTCCCTTGTATACCCTTAATTGGAACTTCAGCCTTCATTGTCAAGGGAATGGAGAATGAAAGTAAGGAGTCTTTGCTAGAACTATACAAGACACTAGTTGGACCATAGCTGCAATACTAAACAGCTTTAGGCCCTTATCCAAGGGGAGAAATATTGGCATTCGAGGGAGTCCAGTGTAGGTTTACTGGGCTGATACCGGATAGGGAGGGACTGTCTTAGGAGGACAGCTTGAGTAGATTGGGTCTGTACTCTTTGGAATTTAGAGTAATGAAAGGTGACCTTGTTGAAACAAAGAAAAATCCTGGGGAACTTGACAAAGTAGATACGAAAGGGTTGCAGGAGAGTTTAGGACCAGAGGACAGAATATCAGAACAAGGGGTCGCACATTGAAGAAAGAGGAGGAGAAATTCCTTCTGAATCATGAATTTATAGGATTCTTTCTGATATGTGGCTGGGGAGCTTGGGTTGTTAAGCATATTTAAAGGCTGAGATTTAAGGGGCAGATTTTCAAATCAGTGAGGGAGTCAAGGGTTATAGGAAAAAGGCAGGAAAGTGGAGGTGTGGATTTTCAGATCAGTCATCATTTCATTGAATGTCAGACCAGAGTCAATGGGTTGAATGGCCTACTTCTGTTCCTACTTTTTATAGTCTAATGGGATATGAGAGAGTGGATGCTTAAAGTACGTTTTCCCTTGTGGGGCAATCAGCATCAAGCGGACAGTTTAAAAATGAGGGGTAAGACCTCCCTATTTAGCACTGAAATTAGGACAAATATTTATTGAGGAATGTTTTCCTGTGGTATTCTCTTCCTCAGGGAAGAATGGAGGCTGGATCATTGAATATTTTCAAGGCCAAGAAAGATTGCTTTTTCCATTGAAAAGGGAGTTGAGGATTGTTGGGGATGAGCTATAGGCAGGAAACAGTAGGCGAGCCACAATTAGATGAGTCATGATCTTATTGAATGGCAGAGCAGGCTTGAGAAGGTGATTGGCTTACTTCAGCTTCTTGTCTTCAATAAATAGTTTTGCTCGTGACCACAAAACCATTGCCGATTGTTGGAAAAATCTGTCTCCTTCACTAATCTCCATCAGGGAAGGAACTCTTCCATCCTTGCCTGGTCTGGCTCACGTGACTCCAGGCTCATGGTAATGTGGTTGACTCTAAACTGCCCTCTGAAATGAGCCTGCAAATAACTGAGTTGCATGGGTCATTACCAGATCTCAAAAAAAGCATCAAGATCAGTTGGTAGTGGTTCAAGGCAGCAGTTCACCACCACCTCAAGACCAACTAGGGATAGGCAATAAATGCTGGCTGTGTCCTACAAGTGAAAAAAGCATAGTAAAATGTCCATTTTCTTAAGTGTAATTTATAGTTTTAAGTAACTGTAGCAAAACCAGAAGTGCACAAAACTGGTCCAACCTTTTCCTTCTCTTCATTTAATAAGTACTCTGTTTCAGCCAGATTCTTCTTCAGTTTCATCTCCGCATTTTGATTCAATTTTAGCTGGTCATGTAGACTTCTCAGTTCTGTCTGATTCTCTATACACTATAGAAAAAAAAAAAGTGGACGCAAGTTCATTTCTTTACACTCAGGAATGAAAGAACTCAACAAGATACTAATTAACTGTTCCAATATAGTAACATCCCATAAACACAGCCTTGGCAAAGGCAGATTCAGTAAACTAGATTGTAGAATTGCATGTGAGACAGCAGGAAGAGAATCCAAGCTTTTAGCTATAACAGAGAGAGGAATACGAGTTCTACATCCAGCTTCAAGAGCCCAGCAACTGTAGAAAGCTCCTGAAACGTCAGCCTTCCTGCTCCTCTGATGCTGCTTGACCTGCTGTGTTCATCCAGCTCTACACCTTGTTATCTCAGATTCTCCAGCATCGGCAGTTCCTACTACTATCTCTAAAAACTAAAAATCCTGGTTCTGTGGGAGCTTGGCCCCACGTATTCAGGCTACTTCTATTGTTCCAACTTTTTAAGACAAAAAAACAAGGCCTCACAAGCTGTTGACTTTAATGGCTTGAAGAGACTGCTCCAAAACTCTGTCTCAACATTTTGTAATTTAAAAAAAAAGACAAAATACACCTCTTAAACCTCAATAGTTTGCTTCAAAAAAAAAAAAGGAACATACACGGTAAGTTAATAATCATGCCTTTCCTGTCAATGCATATGAACAGAAAATCAAAACTATTGATTTTATCATTGTGAACCCACACCACATGAAAACTAGAAGCAGTAATGATCCCATTGTTTCTACCCCTCCCTGGCATCTCCATTCTCCACTCCCCTCATGCTTTGGAGTCCCCATGCATTTGGACTGCTGTATAATACTTTATATCTTAATCCTAGAGATCTAATCAAAATTGGGTCAAAAGTACTTTTTCTATTCAAAAATATTGCTTTTTCATGGCTGAGCTTACATGTATAGCAAGCGTGCTTCCTGCAGCTGTGTCATAAATCCAATTCCATTAGTAAGAACAGCCACAGGAGTAGGAGACTGACAAGACCAAGGGTTTCTTTTTGGAACAGTAAATTCACCTCTTTTCTCATACCTTGATTTTAACAAAACATCACCTTTTCAAAACCGTTCACTTGGTGTTAACTCTTTGGTATGAAATGGAGACTAAATATTTCACGCCTAATTAAAAAAAAAGTGTTGCTCTGACCATTACCTAACACATATTGCAAGAAATACCAACATTTTCTAAGCTTACACCAATTTCTCAGACTTGCGCAACACAACAAAGCTGTCAGGTAAACTTCAGAAAATAACGCAGAAAATCAGACTTAGTCCTCAGTTTTGACAGATCTATCAGAAGATTATAATTTTGGAAATGCAGTAAAGTATTTTAATTGTATAAATTTGTTAAAAATTCCTGTTCTACCAATTACCCGAGATGGGTCATTTACTTACTTAAATAAATAGAAAAAAGTTGAAGATCCAAATGAATTTCAGCAGTTAATTGTGATAACATATTATTAAATTACATCTTCCATCCAACCAAAACCTATGGTTATTAATTGAATGATACAACAGAAACTTAAGTTACCATTTCAATATTATCTTGAAGATCACACTTCAACTGCTCTTTCTCAGCTCTAAGAGCTGTCAGTTCTTGATGCAGTGCCTCCTTTTCACTGCTGAGTGATGCACAGTTCTTCTGAAGTAGGAGAAGCTGTTCAGTTAAATCGTCTCTCTCAAAACCTTGGCTAGTTGTTTCAGGCATAATTGTCGCATTCAAAGGTAGATTTTCCTGGTCACAAAATGCATACCCAAATTCACACTCCATTTCCAAAACATTTGACAACAGAAATAGTTAGTACTGCTGTTAAGCATTTACAGATCCACTTAGGAACATTAGTGTTGATACAAATCAATTTGGAACCAGAAAATAAATTGGAGCTCACTTTATTTCTGTATACGTTGACCGTCTAAGAACATAGTCAGTCATTTTCATCTCTGAACACTCAATCGTAGTACTTGCATCTTAATTTGAATCGCACAGCTCCCTAGTTGAAAATTCAGGAATATGCCTATATAGCAACTAATACTATTTCCAATTACTTTTAATTTCAGTTAAAATGTATTTTTATAGAGTTTAGTTTTTGAAGGTCAAAATGTATGACTTAAGAATTAGTATAAAGCTTCCTTCACACACTGGTTCAATTACTTACGTGATCTAAGCTTCACTCGAAGACCACATTTAGCTTTTGCTACCAATACACGACACAGAAGATTGAATTGTATGTGTTTCTCATAATAAATGTTAATCAATTAATAGGATCTGTAGAGGTAACTATTTCTCTATCAGCTATTTCCTTAATGCAATATTCAAAATGAATTAATTATGAATAGGTTCTGTGGAATATATCCAGGTTTGTACTTCCAAACATATCTACACTTTACCTACCTATATCCATCTTCAGAACAACACCTGACTTTGCCCGTCTTGGTTAATCTGCTTCTGAAGCTCTTTCAACCATTGGTTACCTTTGAATTCTCCCTCCCTGGAGGTGGCAGGGAGGATAAATAAATTGGGTGCAGCTGAGATGCTTGCCTCCTTCTTGCCACTGGCATTCAAGTTCTAGACACATAGGTCCAAGGATGAAAATCTTAACATGCCTTCAAAGTCCTTGAACAATCAACTGACAGTTATTTAAAAAGGGCCTCAGCCTGCCAGTGGCTCAATTATCTGTGGCTTCAAGACAGGAAACGAAGGTGACTTGCCTGCCAGGTTTTAACAAGTCTTCCAGTCAAGCAAAATCCTGACTTTAAATTTATTTGTCCTAAAATTCCCTCGGTAGTCTTGACAGTCTCCATTTCTAATCCCCTCCAGTCCAAACCCTTCTAATGTTGCCATTTTGTGCACCTCCTACCCCAATTTTAATCGTTTTAGCATTGGTTGCTGTCTTTCCAGTTGCTTGGACTCTAAGGTTATGAATTCCCTCCCCATCTCTCCTAACATGCATCCTTTAAGCCAATTCTTAAAATCAGCTAACATCTCATGGGCTGGTGTCATACTTTGTATATAATGCTTCTGTGAAGTGCCTAATGATGCTTTATTTCACTCATCCATTATTGCAGCAGTCTAGCATTCGTTTTTATTCATTCGTGGGATGTGGGCATTGCTGGATGGGCATGGACCTGTTGCCCATATATAGTTGCCCTTGATGGTGGAGAGCTGCTTTCTTGAACTGAAGTCCATTTGCTGTAGGTAGGCCCACAATTTCTGTAGAAAGAGGGTTCCAGAAGTTTGACCTAGTGACTTCGAAGGATCAGGTATATATTTCTGGAAGGTGAGTGGATTAGAGGAGAGCTTGCAGGTGATAGTGTTTTCATGTATCTGCTGCTCTTGTCCTTCTCGACGGAAGTGATTATGGTTTGGAAGGTACAGTCTAAGGCTCCTTGGTGAATTTCTGCAGTGCATCTTGTATATGGTACAGAATGTTGCTACGGTGTGTCTGTGGTGAAGGCAATGAATATTTGTGGTTGCGATGCCAATTAAGCAGGCTACTCGTCCTGGATGGTGTCAAGCTTGAGTGTTGTTGAAGCTGCACTCATCCAGGCAAGTGAGGAGTAGTCCATCACATTCCTGATGTGTTTCTTGTGAACAGTGGACAGACCTTTGCGAGGCAGGAGGAGAGTTACTCATTGCAGAATTCCTAGCCTCTAACCTGCTCTTGAAACCACTGTAGCTACATGGCCACCTCAGTTGAATTTTTGGTCAGTGGTAACCCCCAGGCTGTTGATAGTGAAGGATTCAGTGATGTCATGTCATTGATGTCAAGGAGCGGTGGTTAGATTCTCTTGTTGGAGGTGGTCATTGCCTGGCACAAGTGTTATTTGGAACTTGTCAACCCAGACCTGATATTGTCCAGGTCTTGCTGCCTTTGGGCAAGTACTGCTACACTGAGGAGTCATGACTGATGCTGAACATTGAAATCAGAGAACATCCCCATGTCTGATCTTATGATGGCGGGAAGGTCATTAATAAAGCAACTGAACTTGGTTGGGCCTGGGACACTACTCCTGATAATTCTGCAGAAATATCCCGGAGCTGAGATGACTGACCTCCAACCACAACAACCATCTTCCTTTCTGCCAGGTATAACTCCAAGAGTGGAGTGTTTTTCCAGATTCCCATTGATTAGTTTGGCTAGAATTCCTGGATACCACACTAGTACCACAGATTCAATAATCTGAAAATCTTCCTTGCTCAAAGCGTCTCCAAACACCAAATGTTTCATTAACTGATCTGAAACTTCCAACACTTCCCAAAAGGGAGATCAACAATATCTTTATGCATCGTGGCCATACAAAAAGATTGAATAGCCAAATCTCAACTTGAGTATTTGTATCATCATGAAACATGTTGGGAAAACTTCAAGTTACTCAAATAAACTAACCTTTTGATGAGATTTTGATTGTGACATCGTCACTTCCTCATTGGCTTTCATTAAAACCTCCAATTTAATCACTAGGTCTTGTCTTTCCTCTTTCAGTAGTTTAATCTCTTCTGAAGATTTAGAATATTTATCATCTATAGAAAGGAGAAAAGTTGTAGCAAACCATATGCCCAAACCAAATGCAAATATCTATACACCACACACACACACACACACACACACACACAATAACAATTGCAAGAAATTAAACAAAAGTCAGTTAATTTGGTTCTGAACAGAGGGAACAGTCATGCTGCAAAACAAAGGTGACAATATTAATCTGAAGACAACACAGAATTAGTTGTTCAAGTTGGTATTTGGAAGCTAAGTTATACCAATTCACAAACCTATGAACACAAGTTCTTGGATGAAGTAGCATTTGCTGTGGATAAAGAGAAACCAGAAGTTGCATTTAGATTTCCAGAAGACATTTGACATGGTGCCGCATCAAATGCTATTGTGGAAAATAAAAGGTCACAGTATGGCGTTAACATATTGACAAGCATGGAAGATAGGCTGGCTAACAGGAAACAGAACAAGCAATAATGAATCATTTCTGGGTGGTGAAGCTATTTTTTATCGTCTCACATGATGTGGACATCACTGGTAAAGCCAGTGCTTTTTATCCATCACCAATTGTTTTTAAATGATGGGCCATTTCATTTTAGAAGCCAGTTAAGAGTCAACTGTATGTCAACTATCACATACCAAATCAGGTGAAGATTACAGATTTTTCTTCCATAAAATACATTAGTGAACCAGATGCTTTTTTTTTTTTAAAATGAGGATTGACAAATTGTTTCGTGGCCTTGATTAGACATTTTTAAACTCCAGATTTATTAACTGAATTCAAATTTCACTGAAAGTCAAAGGGATTCAAACCCATGCCCCGAGCCATTAACCAGGGTCTCCACTTTATTTTTATGGCATTACAGAATGACTATGCCACTGCCTCCCATTTAACGAGTGAAGTACCATAGCTATCAATGCGGATTACAAATGATTTGGACGAAAAGGACCAAAAGGTACGGCTGCTGAATTTCCCCATGACAAAAAGATCGGTGGGAGCTGTGAAAATGATATAGGGAGCCTACAAAAGGGATATGGATAGATTAAGTGATTACATAAAGATATTGTCAGCGGGATAACGTGAAACTGTCCACTTCGACAGGAAGAATTTTAAAAAGTGCATTATATTGGGAAAAATAGTCAGCAATTGCAGAAATCTGCAATGCAGATGGACCTGGGTATTCTAGTACATGAATCACAACAGGTTAGCATGCAGCTACAGCAGACAGTTAGGAAGGCTAATAAAACTTTAACAATTCTTGCAAGGGGAATTGAATGCACAAGTGAAAGGCAATGTTTCAGTTATACAGAACATTGGTGAGACCATATCTAGAATACAGAGCAGAGTATTGGTCACTTTATTTAAGGAGTGATGTCAATGCCAAATAAGCAGTTCAGAAGGAGTATACTAGACTAATTCCTGGATTGAGCAGTTGACTTACATAGAATGTTTGGACACGCTAAGCATGTGTTTGCTGGCGTTTAGAAGAGCAAGAAGTGATTTGATTGAAACATACAATATCCTAAGAGGTCTTGACAGGGTGAATGTGGAAAGAACGCTACTTCAGAGAATCTAGAACTTGGGAGTTACTGCTTAAAATAAGGGGCTGCTCATTTAAAACCGAGATAAGGAGCAATCTTCTCTTAGCTGGTCATGAATCTTTGGAACTCTCTTTCTCAAAACCCAAAGGAAACAGAAACAGAGTCCTGGCATATTTTTAATGCAGCTATAGATAGATACTTCAGCAAGGGGATGAAAGTTATCAGGGCTAGATGGGAATATGGAGTAATCAGATCAACGATCTTATTAAATGGTGGAAAGACTGGAGGGGCTGAATGGCTACATCTGCAACTAATTAACATTTCCATGGCTTTCATTGTATCCACAGGAGGATCGCTTCCACTTAAATGTGAATGAAAGAACATTTAAAAAAGAAAACAACACAAGCATTTAAACAGCAACCATTATGCACATTGCAGAATTTAATGTGCATGAGTTGAATGCGCACTTTGTGTGCTTTTGTTGTCAGGTGGAAAAAAAAGAGTTTCAGACTGTTGATTTTGATTTCAACAGTTCTTAGGTCAAAAGTTTAACAAAGTCCTAACATTTTTCAACTGCACAATGCCTATAACAGTATTAAACTGATAACCGGTTTCTCATAAAAGGAACATACTACTTAGAAGTATGTTGATAGTAGTTTCAAACAATATATTCAAGGCGGCATCAGATGATTGCTTGAAAAGAAACAGTGTGCAGGGTCCCAGCGAAAAGAAAATGTCACTCAGTCATAACACTCATTTGGAAGCTGCTGCAGATAAAATGGGATAAATTGCCCCCTCTGCAGTGTAACATCTGAGATTCTAAACTTAATTCAATGCTGCAATACAGGATGGAAATATCGAGTATTGAAGTAGCCCTATTCAAGTGGGTCAGGTCCTCAAATGATATACCAAATTAATGAAACTTACATGCACCTGTAATGCAGGAATGAAGAATTGGACTCTAACTTTAATTCAACATTGTTCTTTTAACATCCTGTTAATCATTTCCATTACCTTGCAAATTTGTTCACACTCATTAAGACATGATTGTCACGTCTGCATGTTTTTAAACCCAAATCATTTGGTATATGTATGAACATTTTGATACAAGTTACACTGCAATACAGACATCAAGTTGCTTAAAAAAATTATTATTATAACCATTGTCGAGGCATACCATTCCCATCAAGATCTAGCAAAACATTAACACTGAGTCAGTAATTATTGCTGCAGGTTTATAACACATGTTCAGGCTCACATTAGAGTGAAGGTATGCACTCAAGTGAAGGCACTTAACCTGTAACTATCACTCTTTTGCAGTGTGGACCTATGTCAAAAGAGGCAGAAATACTGACCTGACAACACTGATTCAGAACCAAATACTATGCAGATTGGCAAAGTCAATGACTCAGCAACAACCTCATTGTCTTCCATTGGCCACTCAAACAAGTGACCTTCCTGAATTCAGCCAATTCCTGACTTACTGTGGTGATGAACTTCAATGTGTTAACTAAAAAGGATCAAGCTATTAGTTTTAGCAAAAAATTTCTGATCATGATATAGTTTAAAGGAGGACGCAATTTAAAAAACAGCATACGTAACTTAGCGTGAGTTCAAAGGAAAAATGTCTCCATCTCACCAATTTCCTTCTGCTTTTCTAGCTCCTGCTTCAATTGCTGTTCTTGTTCTTTAACTTGTCTTTCTTTGTCTTCAATATCATGTTGAAACTGTACACACTTAGCCTGCTCTTCTTTGAGCCTTGTGGAGTATAGATCTAATTCTTTTTGGAGATTCTCCAGACTACATTTCATTTCATTCTGTAGAAAAGACATGGAAGCCAACAACTAGTCAACTAATAAATTCATTTCTGAAAGAAATGAGAGGTGGAATAAACAGCTACTTTAAGATGGTTCTCTTACACTTCCAGTTTATAATGTGAGATGATTGGCATTTATATTACCCTATCAATGTGAATTTAGCATTGATCCCTTAAAATCAGTGTTGACTGACCTTTGATTTATGAACATTTGGACATGAGCTAATTTGAATAATATTTAACATATATTGGAATCATCAATCTCATTCCTGGAGTCTTATGGTCAAAATGCTGCTCATTAGAAGTAATTTTAATACCTTGGCTTATGCGACCAGCAGAAGGAAGAAAATTGAAGCATTGACCCACAATTTAATAAAGCTCAAAAATGATAGCCAAAAATAGAGCTACGCTATTTAACAATGAAGTTCACATATAGAGAGGAGGGAACAAAGCAGGGTAATAATGAGTGTGCGTCTTCATTTGAGGCCATTTCCTCAGCATCAGAATAGGCTTGGTCAAACAACTAAAAAGACTCCAGAAAGATTGCAAATTTCCTGCCAATGACCAAATATTACTACTTCTAAATGAATTTTAAAATACCTCAGGATTAATTGGTGACCATTAATAAGCATGCTAATTATCATCACTTCTTCTACCTGTTGTAGAGTTTTGATATTTTCCTGATGATCCTGCTCAGATTGGACCTTAGCAAGAACTTCCTGGAGTTTGTTCCTATCCTGGGCAATAGCTGACACCTCGCCACGCAAGTTCTCAAGTTGTTTAACATCATCTTCTCTGCATGCTGACAAAGTATCCCGTTCGGCAGTAACATCATTAAGTGCTTTGGTTAGCTGCAGAACCTAAAATTTAAATTTGAAGAAATAAAATATTAGTTTTCACTGTACAGAAATTCACCAACACTTCACTAACTCTACTTCCACAAAATCCCTACAATGCAGACCACCACATCAAGAGGCTAGTCACCTTTAGTCCTATTGCTTTCCCTAGCAACTTTCCTGTAGTGATTGTGATTGTTTTTGTATTCCTCCTCCTTTTTGCCTGGATTTTCTACAATTATTAGGATAACTTAGTGCTTTCTAATGTGAAAACAGATACAAAATACTTGTTAAAATTTTCACCCGTTTCGTGTTTCCCGTTTCCCCAGTTTATGGACGAGAAAACATTGGAAATGGCACAATTGAAAGCTATTTAAAATTCACCTATGCAACAATAATTGCACTTCAGTGGTCTCTTGGATGTCCTGATGATGTGATGTGATAGGTGATAAATAAGCATAAAATACTCAATGTAAATAATGGCATAAATTCCAAGTATTATTTAACATATTCATTGCAGCTTCATTACCTGCTTTGCTAATTCATCTACCTTTTCAGGCAATGATTTATATTGGGATAATAGAGATACTTCTTCCTGAAGACTATTCTTTTCTTTTTCTGATTTATCCAACTGTTGTTTAAGGTCAGCCACGCTCTTTTCCAAATGAAAACGATCCAATAAATCTAAGTTTAATAAGAAAGTGGTAGTAAAATGATTGTCAGTTTCAAAAGTACAATACTATAAGTAGCCAAAATCTTATATACATGAATGTCAGCGTTAAATCAGAGAGAAAAGAATCGATTGTTTATCTGCTGAAAAAATATCCTGTAAATATAACCAGCTCCCAGTCTGACTCCTTAAAATTTCAAATATTATGGGTCAGTCTGATTTCAGACTATGTTTTATAAATTTTGATGTCTCATCCTTACTGAAGAAAATCTACATATTCAGACAGGACTGTTCAGCACAGCAAGCATAATTCTTCTATTTTTCCCTGGGAGCAGGCTTCCTCTGTCCACACTCAAAGTTTGCAGATTCTACAAGACATGACACACATTTTTACATTAAGATCTGATTGCAGGCAATTTTAAACTATCCCAAATAAATATTTGGAAACTTCAAAAATAATCCAGGATATAAACGCTTGTATTTTACCCCCGTTGATAACAAAAATGCTATATGATAAAAATAATTTGTGAAATTAGCAGTTTCAGTAAAACAGAATGATGTAGACTTCATTCTTTCATTGAAGAGTATTTTTTTTTAATGTATTCATTGCAGATTTTGAGGCTTATTACTTCTGCCATTTTGTCTAGCACTGCCCTAAAAAGGTTTGACAACATTTCCCCGAATAAACGAGGTTGACTTACTAGTACTTAAATCACCAAAAGAGCTCCACCAAACTTCAGCGAAGGGGGACAAATATGAAGAGCTTAAAGGATAGCATTCTTGCTGCATTAACTCACAAATTACTACTCCCTAGGCAAAGTAGCATCAGAAGAGGAGACTCCAGTTTAAAGCAAAGCACATCTATCAAATCCCATGTAACTCATGTGCATTGTCAAGGCACTGCATAGGAGATAGGGCAAGAGTGTGGCATACATGGATATGCAAAAGAACAAGTTTTTATTACAGTAATGGTTTCAAAAACTATCCATCATCTTAAAGATCAAAAGGAGCACTTTTGCTCCTTTTGGGTGCACTTGCTCATTGGACGACAAAAATTGCACTAGGGTTGTACAAATGGCATAGAACCTTGATCTTGTTACGAAGTGGTATATAGTAATCATGAATTGGCAGACAGGAAGCTAGAATTTTTGTAAAAAAGTGTGATCCCTGTAAGAGATAGTTTTTATAAGCTTAGAGATTTATACAGAAAATGGGTCTGTAAGCAGCTGCAGATTATAGACAGTTCTAAAAACTGAAACATGTATCAATTGGCTGTGATTGGAAACCTTTGGCTTGTTTTGGTGTTTTGGCAATGAGCTGGAATCAGTCAATTAATTTAAACCAAGCACTTAGCAAGTGAAAGCCAATTGAATTTAAATCTGATGGTTTTGACAAGTTCGAACCAATGCTATTGCAAAAAAAATTGACATGTCATCCAAGGTATATAAAGGAGAGGGTTTTTGAAAAATCGATGCGAGAGTGAACCACCATCTGAGAAATAAGCATTGGGCTCTCAAGGAATTGCTAAGTTCTCTTTAAAAAGAGATAAAAAAGGTACCACAGCACTTCCAGCCAAGAGTCCTCACAGTAGAAATTAGAGAAAACATCCCTGACAACAGGATCAGCAGAAGAAAGGCTGGAGACACAGCAGAGAAGGCAAGGGATTCCAGAAGACATTTTGTGTGAACTTTGAGAGACTAAGTTTTAACTTGTTTATTTCTTACTACATGGGTCATAAGTTGGGCTTGTGTTTATTGGAATAGCACACAAGTAGAATTTTGTTCAGTTAGGGAATAGTTAGGAGATAGAGGGGAATTGTTTGGTTTGTTTGTAATTCTGTTAATTTGTTCACTGTTAGGATTAAATAAATTGTTACTTGTTACTTATAGAATGAATATCAGGGATTCTCTCATTTAACCTCCCCTTCTCTGTAACAATCTAAATATTGAAACAAGGCTCTGGTTCGCTTCAGGCAGGAATGCTGGCCCAATGAAACAGAGACAAACGTGACTTCACACAGCTGAAGTCAAGGAAGTGCAAATTGTCCTCCATTTTCTATGTCAGACATAATACTATGAAGATTCACAGTCAAACGGTCAATCATATAAAAATCATTCTTATCATACAAGACAGTAATTTTACTTTGCCTTATTCAGAGAAATGCAAGTAAACAAACCTCTGTCATCAAGAAACATGTCAATACAAAGTGGAAGAAGCAGATACTAAAATATCCACATTCCATTTAGCTTTGGGACAATCATTAGTGATGAGGAAAAATAACCGAGTTAAAAATGATGTTCTCCGAGTCATACAGCATGAAACAGACCCTTTGGTACAACTCATCTGCAGTGACCAGATATTCTAAGCTGATCTAGTCCTATTTTCCAGCATTTGGTGCACATCTCTCTAACCCCTTCCCATTCATATACCCATCATGATACCTTTTGAATGTTGTAATTGTACCCACCTCCACCACCAGCTCAGGCCGCATATTCCATACACGCACCATCCTGTGCATGAAAAAACTGACCCTCAGGTCTCAATTAAACCTTTCCCCTCTCACCTTAAACCTATGGCCTCCAATTTTGGACTCCCCTACCCTGGGAAAAAGACCTTGGCTATTCACCCTATCAATGACCCCCATGATTTTATAAACTTCTACAAGATCACCCCCTCAGCATCCGTGCTGCAGGGAAAGCAGCCCCAGTTTATTTAGTCTCTCGTCATAGCTCAACCCTCCAACCCCAGCAACATCCTTGTAAATCTTTTCTGAAAGCTTTCAAGTTTAACATCTTTTCAATAGCAAGGAGACCAGAACTGAACAGTATTCTAAAACTCGCCTCACCAATAGCCTGTACAGCCGCAACATGACATCCCAACTCCTAGGCTCAATGCACTGTCCAATAAAGGCAAGAGGTGGGAACTAGGCAACGAAAAGATGGAAAATTACATCCTACTGCCTTTTAAAAAAGAAAAGGTGGACCTATGAATTAAGGCAAAACATTGTATCCAGGAAACATGACCTTGATTGTCATCCAGGTCAAAGATGTTTAATGAGAAGACATAACATGGTCCCCTTAAATGTGAAGTAATATATTATAGGAACATACCTTTAGGGACTTTTCCATCCAGAAGCGACATTAGTTTGGTATTTTCATTGAAAGCCAAATTTAATTCTTTCTGTAAATCAGATTGCATTTCTCTGTAGCGTGACCGCTCAGCATCAAGCTGGCTGCTGTACAATTGGACATCAATTTCCATTTTTTGATAGTCGACTCTCATTTTATCCTCCAGTTCATGCAAGAAAGTTGAAAGAAAAACAAACCTTAGAAGACTAAAATACTTCAATTAGGTCAATATTATTGAAACAGTTTGGAAGTATCAAAATCTCACGCTCTCACACACACCCAGTCAGTAAAGCAGAGTTCTGGCTTCAGTCTGGATTAGTAATCAACTTGTTCAGTTCCCTTCCAGCTCCTTTCGAGTGAGGAGGACATGAGATTGTGAACGCTGATAGACCCAGGTTTCCCACTAACTGGGTAAATTATGTTTTAGTCTGATCCATTGAATTTCAATTATGTATCAGTTCAATGAAGTATGTGGACCAGATTGGTTTGGACCAAGAATGGTCAGAAACAGCTAAGTGGAGCAGATTTTTAAATTGTGCCATTCTGAAATGTAAAACATTAATGTATTTGATCATTCTTTAACTTGTTGTACACACTATATTGCGAACCTCTCTTGTAAGATTATAGTAAGTGCAAGTAAATGTGGCATTTATGAGCAATCAATTAAGATAAAAAGTGGGTATGCATGGCTCATTGAAGCGTGCCGTGTTACTGTAAAGGGTGAAAAAAATTAGCCTACATCATAACAGTTCTTTTCAAACTCCCTTTCTCCTTTCACTTCCCTCATATTTACATTGTGACAAAGTTCAGCGAGCATGAGGCAACCGGGGTAATATAAATACCTAAAAACTATCTTAGGGGGCTAGTCTGTCTACTTTCTCCCTTGGCTACTGTAAAATTTTGGAACTGTCCTGAAGAGGTGTGATACAGAACAAGTGCAATGGAAATGAATAACGTCAATTGCCACAAGTAAAATTTCTATACAAGCAATTCACAAAGTTAAAATGCTGTAAACAAAACTGTTATTACCATTTCTTCCTTAAGCTCCAGATTTTCACTTCTCAGAAAGGAAGACTCTTTCTTTGCATCACGAGTTACAACTTCTGCATCATTCAGTGATTGCTGCAACTGCTTGATCTGGCATGTAAAAAAACAGAAAACACAGTTGGAGAAAAAGAAATCATCCATTTCCTATTTAACCTTATAAAAAAAAAGGCAAATTGCTAAAACCACTCCTACACAGTCAAATAGAGGAGGCAATAGCGAGTGGTATTAGCGCTGGAATGTTAATCCAGAGAATGAAATAAATAATGCTCTGGGAAGCCGGGTTCGAATCTCACCAAAGCAGATAGTGAATTTGGATTTAACAAGAAAGAAAAATCTGGAATTAAGAGTCTAATGATGGCTCTTCATCACCATTTAATGATGACCATGAATCCATTGTAGATTGACAGAAAAACCCATCTGGTTTACTAATGAGAGATAGTAAGAACTGCAGATGCTAGAGTCAGAGATAAGAGCATTCAGCTGGAGGAACACAGCAGGCCAGGCAGCATTAGAGGAGCAGAAAAGTTGATGTTTCAGGTCGAGACCCTTCTTCAGAAGTGGGGAGGGGGAAGGGAGCTCAGAAATAAAGAGAGAGAGGAGGGGTGGGGCTGGGGAAGGTAGGTGGGATGGTGATAGGTGAATGCAGGTAGGGAGTGGTGGGGATTTGTCAGTGAGGTGGGAGGTGCTGTACCACTCCCTACCTGCATTTACCTAACACCATCCCACCTTCCCCAGCCCCAGCCCCACCCGTCCTCTCTATTTATTTCTGAGCTCCCTTCCCCCTCCCCATTTCTGAAGGATCCCGACTCGGAACATCAACTTTCCTGCTCCCCTGTTTACTAATGACCTTTAGGGAAGGAAACTCCCATCCTTACCTGGTCTGGCCTACATGTGACTCCAGACCAGCAACGTGGTTGACTCTTAACTGCCCTCTGGGCAATGAATGCTGGCTTAGCCAGCAATCCCCTCATCCCGTGAATGAATAAAAGGAAATACAATTTACATTTAAAAAAACACAAGTCCATTTTGTGATTTTGGCAGAGGCCAAATCAAAACCAAAATTCTTATGCCTTTCTTGCCCATCAATTGAAAAATCTCAAACATAATAAAGCACAGAAAAATTGTGTTAACTTTATATGACAAGTCAATACATTCCACCCCTAACAGCTCAGGATTCACCTTGCTACACCCTAGCTCTTTAACTTGTTCTAACTATGGAATAAACAGATTCTGCTCTTGTTCTTCAGAACTGTTTCAGATCTCAATTCTGAAGAAGGGTCACTGGAACTGAAACATTAACTGGGATTTCTCTCCACAGATGCTGCCAGACCTACTGAGATTTCCCAGCAATTTGTTTGTTTCTGATTTCCAGCAACTGCAGTTCTTTTGGGTTTTTTTTCTTAATTCCCACACCAGTTTTGCTCATATTATGCCATTGTACATTTTTAAAAAAGAAAAGAAAAGTTCTGTTGTGAATCAAACACACTGGACTTTAATGCTCACTTAATGTAGAACATTAAATACAAAATCACTTACCTCAAGCTCCTGGTTGATAGTCTCAGAATTGCTAACTAGCTCCTTGAACATCACATTTTCATGCTGCTGCTGTTCCTGCAAATGGCCAAGACAGACTGTATTAAAAACGATTGCTGTACCTAGCGTTACCTGAATTGGCACTTCTACCATTATGCATTGACACGACATCTGAAAACAAGGCAGCATTTACATGCACCCTGATGGCATCTAGATCTACATCACCACCACTTCTCTCAAACCTTCCAGTGTATTGACATTTAGGCATTTCCTCCAATTAACTGTAGCAAGTTCAAAGTCATTGCATTCAATCTTCACCGCAAACTTTGTTCCCTAACTGACATAATTCCCTCTCCCCAAGAACTGAAGCACAAATTGGTCATTTACAATATTAGCATAGTAGTCGGAGATGAGCTTCAAACCCCACTCCAGTACCCACCGAGGTGCTATTTCCAGTCTAATGTTAGCTAAGATAGAAACCGAGTGGGTAATCTGTTTCTGAAACCCTTATTCCCAGCACAAACAACTAGCCTCCTGGCTAAAAACTCATCTTCTGCCCTGCATAAACATGAACACATCAAAATCTTTGCTGCCAACCTTCTAAATCACACTAAGTCCCATTCACACAACACCAGTGTTTGCCACCGTACTGGGGCTGCACTCTAATAACACCTGGGACTTGAATATTCTTATCTTTGCTTTCAAATCCTTTCATGGCCTGTCTCCTTCATTACTGTAATCTCTTTCAATCCTACAACATATCGTGATCACTATGCTCCTCCAATTCTGGCCTCTTGCACATTTCCAATTTTAATCATTGCTAGATGCACCTATAGCTACCTCAGCCCGAGAAGCTGAATTCAGAGTGAAAACCACACTTCTGTACAAAGTCACTCCCTAAAACTTAAATGAAACCATTGGTCACCTGCACTAATATCATGTGCTGTGGCTTAGGAAATTTTGTTTCCAAACACTCCTGTGAAGTTGGCAGGAATATTTTAAGAATGAAGGGGAAAAGATAAATGAAACAAGACATTAAATAGATGCAAATCACCACCAAGGCGAAGTGCATACAATTAAATGAGGGAGCTTTTGCACTCTGGAGATTTTCAACAGTTTCACCATTTTAGTTAATGGGTGGAGCATCAGATATGCAATGTAGCATTGTACATTCCACCAGGGCTAAAATCAAAGCTAAAGCAAGGAAAATTTATTCAAAACTAAAATTGAATTGATGCAGTTTTTTGTTTCACAATATGGATAACTAACCTAGCCTTCCTTACTGAGGTTTACTGATTACCTCTTGCAAGATCTCCCATATGCAAACTAAACATTTCTAAAATTCACTTTAGCAATTTAAGGTACCTTTCCTTCTTTTTCTGCTTCTTTTTCCAAAAACTCAAACTCCTCAATTTCTCGTCTCTCTTTCAATTCTTCAATTCCTTCTCTCAGTTTTTCTAGCTCTTTGATTTCCTTTTTGTGTTTCTCATTTTCCATTTGGAAGAACTTTGCTTTCTCCAGTTTTTCTTTTAGGAGTTCTTTCAATTCTTCAATTTCTTCTTTCTGTTTATCATTCTCCATTTTTAAACTTTCTGCATCAAACTAGAAAGCAAATATCAACATTCTTTTAGCAAAAAAAAAAAGAGACAGTCTTGCAATGATTTGACAAAATAAATCTTACATACCTGTTTTGAGTAAAGAAGCTCACAAATCTCAATACTATCCTGTAGTTGTTTCTCAACATGCCTTGCATATTCCTGAAACATCAAGGTAAGCAATTAAAATCAAAACTGTACAAGAAAAGCTTTTACAAAGGAGATTGAACCCTAGAGCTTCAAGTGTCCTTGCCCATTTCAAGCAGTAATCAGATTATAGACTGAGGGTATGGAACAAAACATCATCCCTTCATCATACCATAGGGTGGGGATCGTAGAGGGGTTCTAAGGTCAGGAAAAAGGAAAACAGAGGAGACATGGAAAAAGAGCTAGAACTCTTCACCATCCAAGTGGGAGAAATACTTTTGAAAAGCAAACTTCAGTTTTCAAAACTCGGCAAAAACTAAGAAAATGGGTCTTCAAAGCTTGAAGGCAGCTTACAAGCTAGATAACATTACTGACAAGAGTATCCTTAAATGTTTTAACCACTTCAGAAGAACTCTCCTCATTTTCTTCCTAATCATTTGGCTAGTAAAAGACCAAAAATTAAACAGGAGAGGCAGTCTTAAATTCTATTAAATGTAAACATTCACATATTTCAGCAATGTCTCATAGGAAGGGAGCAAAAAAAAAAAAAATGAAGCTCCTCGTTGCTTTCAGTCATTCTGACTAAAACAAATCATAATTTAGCAAATTCCAGAAAGCGCATGATGGAATTCTCTTCACATGTTTCGACGAGTGGTACTCCATAACACAAACAGTTTAACACTATACAAGTCAACTCTTCAGTCCTGAAGAGTCATACCAAACTCAAAACGTTAATTGTTTCTCTCTCCACAGATGCTGCCAGAACTGCTGAGTTTCTGTTTTTTTATGTTTTCAGTTAGTCAACTTAGAATCATACAATCATATAGTAGGGAAAAGGCCTTTCAGCCCATCAAGCAAGCACCAAAAATGGCTACATAAAATTTACATTAGTTCCACTTTTCAGCACTTAGCCCATAGTCTTGAATTTTATGACAGTTCAAGTGCTCAGTCAAGTAATCTTTAAAGGTTATGAGGTTTTTTTTTTACCTCAACCACCTTCTAGGCAGTGCAGTCCAGATTCACACTATCTGCATGAAGCAACTGTTCCTCAAACTCCTGCTATTCACCATAAAATTATGCCCATTTGTTAGTGGCCCTTCAGCTAAAGGGAACAGCTGCTTTCTATCCACGCTGTCAATATGACACACCTCAATCAGGGTCCTCTTGTGGAGTAGAGGGAGAGTCCCTACCCCTGCAAGAAAAGTTCAAGTCCCACCTGCTCCAGAGGTGTGCAAGAACATCTCTGAATAGGTCGATTAGAAAAATAGGTATGCATCTCAATCAGGTCCCCTCCTAGCCTTCTATTCTCCAAAGAAAACAACCAGCGTTTATCCAATATCTCTACATAGAGAAAGTGCTCCATCCCAGGCAACATCCTAGTGAATCTCCTCTGGATCCCCTCTAGTGCAATGTTTTAGTGCAGTGACCAAAACTGCATACAGTACTGCAGCTATGGCCTAACCAAAGTCCTGCACAGCTTCAGCATAACCTCTTATAATCTATACCACAACTGATAAAGGCAAGAGTCCTGCATGCATTTTCTTTATTAACTTGCCCCATAACCTTCAGAGATCTGTGGACAAACACCCCAAGATTCAGCTGTTCCTCTGAGCATCCTAATGTCCTGCTATTGAGTATTCCCTTGTCTTGTTACTCCTGCTAAAGTGCGTCACTTGTATTTCGGATTCCTAAGTCTAACTTCCACTGTTGGTCACGGTTTACAATCTCTGTAGAGCATTTTTCACTTTTCTGCCAATTTAGATAAAGACTCTTAACCACTACTACTTTTTCATTTTGTGGCTAACTGGTTTCCATTTTGCTACTGCTCCTAATTTCACTTAATTTTACTACATGTCACATATCAAATACCTTTTAGAAATCCAGTTATATTTCATTCACAGCATTACCTATAGATGCTATTTCTTCTTAAAAAGTTCACAAAGTTTTCTTTTTCAGGTTTCTAGAATGTTTCTCTACATTTCCTCTACATGTCCCTGAATGAAATTTCCAATATTATTTCTAATACTGCCATTAAGCTAATTTCAGTTCCCCTGACTTCTCCCACTTCACTCTAACTGTGGAAACAGTTGTTATCAACCCTTCAGCATTATTTTGGGAGTGTGGATACAATTCATCCAGACATATTTGGTCCCAGGTTTTACAAGTTAATCAAATACCTCCCCCTCTTCTGTCTTAAATATCATTTTTTCTAATCCTTCTATCCTATCCCAAAAGCATGCCATTAATTCTAGCCAAGAAAAAGCAACTATGGCTGCACCCTAAATTCTTTCCCTCATAAATCTATCCTTGCAGCTTCAATTTTCATTTCAAGTAGTAGACAACCCAGAAACACTGCTTATAACTTTAAAGTAGTTGTAGGGAGGATGTAGAACTCATTTCATTCATTTTGCCTGGATAACATGCAGAGTTTTGTTCTAGATGATCCAGGATCCAAAACAGATGGTTAAGGTCTTTCCCCAAACAGCAAATACAGCTTTCTTCACTTGAAAGAGAAAGATGCAAGTGATTAAAAATCACTATTTTAACAGAATCACTTGGGAATTTACTAAAGATCTCAGTATGCTTTACAGGCACTGACCTTTTCATTCTTTATTTCTTTTTCTTTTTCTTCTGTTTGGGTTTCGAGTTGTTTTTCCAGTTCAGATATCCTTTTTACCAATTCATCCTTTGAAGATACATCATACAGCAAACTGTACAATAAATTGAATATAGCTGAAATAATGGCACTTTATGACATATATCAATCAAAATAAGTGGAGAACTAGTCAAATCATAAATTTATCACACTTAACTCCAAGTTAATTCCAAGTTAAAAACCCAAATGCATTTTTGACATTACATTTTGAGGATTCATTTCACTTCCATAACGTGTCTCCAGGTTTTGGGATTCCAAGGTAAATTTGACCAAAGTAACTTTAATTTAAATAAAAAGATCAGCAGTAATGAAACTCGGACTTCTGCCATTCTACAGGGCTCACGGAGATATTTTCAGGTCCACAGCAAGACAGTGGAGGATGATTGTTGAACTGGTCCTGTGGCAAAAACAGTTCTGGAACAAGCAGGGCCTGTGCCTGATCGAGAACATGGAGACAGACAGAAACCTCAGGAAATATAGAAATAGATTCACTAGGGTAGGTTCGTTAAAGAAAGGAACAAGCCCACCTCCACCTTGCCCAGTGGCTCGTACTGATGATAAACCCGAGCTTCGTTCATCTATTATGGCAAATAAATCAGTGACCAGCAGATGACTGAAACAACAGTCCTATTTCCTGGTGGCATCCAAAACATGTCAGAAATGCTGCACAATATTCAAGTACACACAGGTCAATAAACAGAAGTGAAGAGTCCTGAAACACTCTACAGTTGGGGAAGGTTATGCCCGAAAAGATGCCACTGTTCCCAATAAGTGCCACTCCAAGACCAGCCAATATTATGGAGTGAAGTGTTCAACAGCTATGCTGCTGAAGCTGTAGTGTTTCCATCAGCTGAAGGGAAGATAAATTTATGCATGCCTCCAGTCACGTTAGCAATTACTATATCGGATAGCCCTTGCAAAATTTCAGTCAATGAACCGCATATTCGAATATAAATGGGCAAGTGGTCTATTATATTTTAATTTACATTGTGGGAGTTGGAGATAACTAATCTATTTTTTAAAAAGTCCTTATTTAATATGTTTGATATGTTTTTTTTCCATTTTAACATTGTTCTTTTGGTAATGAATGGTGGTTTATTTTATCTAAAAGGTGTTATGGAATCATCATTTTTTTAGGCTTCATGTTATTAAGGCCACATATAAAGGGTACAGAGTGATACAGCTCGTAGATTTACAAAAGCTTTTATCCAGCAGGATCAGTCAGATAGATGGGTGACTGTCAGGAAAGGCAAGAAGGTAGTTCAAAAGTCACCAGTGGCTATTCCTCTAACAAATAGATATTCAGTTTTTGAAACAGTTAAAGGGGATATTCACCGAGGAAAACGGAGGGGCCAGTCAGTTATGAATACTTGGAAGGATTCTTATATAGCATTTAACAAGTGTCTAACCTAAACTGGAAAGGGACCAATATCTTAGCAGGGAGGTTTGCTCATTCTATTAAGGAACTGATCTCAAAACTCCGAGACCTTGGTCTCGGCTCCGCCCTCTGCAACTGGATCCTCAGCTTTCTGACTCATAGACCACAGTGAAGATAGATAACTGCACCTTCTCCACAATAACACTCAACACTGGAGCCCTCCCAAGGATGCGTTCTCAGCCCTCTATTGTACTTCCTGTATATCCACACCTATGTTGCCAAATTCTGAATGAATGCCATCTACAAGGTCGCTGACAACACCACCATGATGGGATGGATATTAACAAGTCAAAATACAAAAGGGAGATAGAGGGCTTGGTGACGTGGTGCAATGAAAACAACCTCTTTCTCTCTCTCTCTCAACATTGGAAAAACTAAAGAACTGATCATTGACTTCAGAAAGAAAAGAGAAGAACATCTATAATCAAAGGAACGGAGGTTGAGGGTGAAGAGCACCAAGTTCCTCAGAGTGACAATAACCAACAACTGTCCTGATCTGCCCACATAGATGCAACAGTCAAGAAGGCACAACAAAGCCTCCTCTTGCTCAGGAAATTTGGCACATCCATAAAGGACCTTCACCAACTTCTACAGATGCACCATTGAAAGCATACTGTCCGGGTGCATAATGGCCTGGTATGGCAACTGCTCTGCCCAGGCCTGTAAGAAACTATAGAAGGTGGTATGCACAGCCCAGACCATCACAGAAGCCAACCTTCCATCCATGGACTCCATTTACACGTCTCGCTGCCATGGAAAGGCTGCCAACATCAAAGACCCATTACACCCCGGTAATGATCTCCTACAACATCTTCCATCAAGCAAAAGATACAGAAGCCTGAACACACGCAGGAGCAGGTTGTTCCTGGCTGTTATCAGATTGACGAATGGACTCTCTGGACTCAAATAACAACGATCTTGTTAACGTTGATCTTGCCTAGTGCATGCTCTGTGCAATGTAAATCTGTATGCCTCTAAGTCATTTTGATCTGTATATCCTTGCTTACTATGATCAGCCTGTACTGCTCGTAATCAAAGCTTTTCACTGTACTTTGGTACACGTGACAATAAATCAACCAATAAGGGAGACTTTATACTGATAGGTGAGTGGAGGAATTCTAAGTGGCAGTGTAGAAGGAAGGATTGATGGGGTAGGCTCCGAATGTGAGGAGAGCATATCAATTAACAAAAAAAGAAAAGGAGAGAGTAAGATTATGTAATAACTCTGAAGAACTAAATTACATTATTTCAATGCAAGGGGTCTTACAGACAAGGCTGATGAACTCAGGGCACGTTTAGGAACATGGGATTGCAACATCATAGCTTTTACAGAAACTTGGCTGAGAGACGGACAAGACTGGCAGCTCAATGTTCCCAGTTTTAGATGCTATAGGAAGGATAAAAAGGAGGCAAGAAAGGAGAAAAGTGGTGGCATTTTTGATTAAGGAATACATTACTGCTGTAACTAGGGACGATATTTCTAAAAAATCGTCCTGTGAAAATATATAGGTAGAAATTACAAAATAAGAAAGGAAAGATCACCGATAGAATTGCACTATAGGTCCCAACAGTAAGAGAGAAATTGAGAAACAAAGACACAGGGAGATCTCAGATGTATGTAAGCATACGGTTATAATAATGGGGGATTTTAATTTTCCAATTATTGACTGGGACTACCATATAGTGTTAAAAGTTTTGGATGGTGAAGAATTTGTCAAATATGCTCAAGAAAATTTTATCTATCAATATGTGGGGATGTTCCTTCCAGAACAGGAGCAAAACTAGATCTTCTTTTGGGTATTAAGGCAGGGCAGGTGACTCAACTGGGGGAACACTTTGGGTCTAGCAATCATAATTTGATTAGTTTCAAAATGGTTATGAAAAAGGATAAGCCTTCCATAAAAATTAAAGTTCTTAATTAGAGTAAGACAAATATTAATGTTATGAGACAAGAACTTTCAAAAGTTGATTAGACTGTTCACAGGTAAAACAAGTGGGACGCATGAAAGAGTGTGATGATCCGAGTTCAGAGGCATTTTTTTCCTGTTAGAGTGAAGGGTAGGGCTGGTAAGATTAAGAAACAACAGATGAAGAAAGATAGAGGTCCTAGTCAAGAATAAAAGAGAATTTTTTTTTTTTTTTTTTTTTTTTTTTTAAGATTATAGACAACTTGGTTCAATTGAATCTCGTAATCAATATCAGGAGTGTAGGGGCATTCTTAAGAGAGAAATCAGGAAGGCAAAGAGGGGATATGAGATAGCATTGGATTATCCTTTATCTTATCTGCCAAAGAGATTCTACAAATACATTAACAAGAGGGTAACTAGAGGGGATTGGGCCTCAAAGACCAAGGAGGTCGTCTTTGTGTTGAACTCCAGGAGATGGGAGAGATACTAAATGAATATTCCACATCAGTTTTTACTGTGGAGAAAGAAATGGAGTATGGAGAATGCAGAGAAATAAACTTTGTTTTTAAAAGAGTTCACATTACAGAAGAGGACATTTGGAAGGTCTTAGAGAATATAGAGGTGGATAAATCTCCGGGACCTCATCTAACGTATCCCAGAATGCTGTGGGAAGTAAGGGAAGAAATTACAAAAACCTCTTGCAGAAATATTTGCATCATCTACAACTATGGGCGAGGTGCCTGATGACCGGAAAAGTAGCTAATGTTGTACCTTTAAGAAAGGTGGTAAAGGAGAAACCAGGGAACGATAGACCTGTGTGTCTGACTTCGGTTGTGGGTAAATTGTTGGGGGTGATTATAAAAGATAGATTTATGGACTTTTAGAGAGGCAAAAATTGATTAGGGATAATCAGCATGGTTTTGTGTGAGGAAAATGATGACTGAAACTTGATTTTTTGAGGAAGTTACCAAAAATAATGATGTCAGAGCAGTAGACATTGTTTATTTGCATTTTAGTAAAGCCTTTGACAAGGTTCCACATCGTAGTCCAACTGGTAAAGTTAGGTCACATGGGATTCAGCGTGAGCTTGCCAATTGGATACATGATTGACTTAACGGCAGGAGACAGAGAGTAATGGTGGAGGTTTGCTTTTTGTGCTGGAGGCCTGTGGCTAGCAGTTTTCCGCAGGGATCAATTCTGGGTCTATTTTGTTTGTCATTTATATAATATTATTCAGGATGAGAACGTAGAAGGCATTGTTAGTAAGTTTGCAGTTAACAGCAGAATTGATGGCATATTAGACAGTGAAGAAAGTTTAAGATTACAAAGGGATCTGATCAAATGGGTCAATGGGCTGAAAAATGGCAGATGGAGTTCAATCTGGATAAATGTGAGGTATTGCATTTTGGTACAACAAACAATTATACAATTAATGGTAGGGCCTTGGGTAGTGTTGTCAAACAGAGGGACCTAGGGGTACAAGTGCAGGTACATAATTCTTTAAAGTTTTCATCACATATAGACAGAATGATTAAAAAGGCATTTGGCACACTTGCTTTTGTTGCTCAAGCCTTTGAGGATAGTAGTTGGGATGTTATGTTGAGGTTATGTCGTACAGGATATTGGTGAGGCCTCTTCTGGAGTACTATGTCCAGTTCTGTTCATCCAGTTATAGGAAAGATATTATCAAGATGGAGCGGATTTAGAAGA